AAGAAATAGAGCACCATACAAAGATTTGATGGCAGAAGCAACCCGTGGACACGAGAGGGAAATTTTCAAACAAGATACAACAACAGCAGTGTGGCTTCCGGCCCGGTCGAAGCACCTCTGACCACATATTGTCGTTGCGCCAGATTGTTGAGAAATCGAGGGAGTACGCCCGTTCGATGTGCATGTGTTTTGTCGACCTAGAAAAAGCTTATGATCGGATCCCACGCAACAGTCTGTGGCTATACCCGAGACATCCAATCACTGTATTCTGATACGAGGTGCTGCGCCAGAGTAAATAGCGTTAAGTCGAAACCATTCAACATTCGAATTGGTCTCCGGCCTGCCCCGTTTCCTATTTGTGTTGTACATGGATAGAATAGTCAGGAGCATCAAAGGCGACGAATGTAACGGAGTAGCGGATGTAGAGACGAGACGGCTGCTGTTTGCAGACGACGCTGTTTTACTTGCATCTTCTGAAACTGATTTATAGTGCTCCTTAGAAAGGTTAGCAGTCGAGTGCGAGGTGGCCGGTACGCGTGTGAGCGTATCTAGAGCGAAAAGTTTGCTGCTTTCTCGTTCCCCTGCCGTTGTCCTCTTCAGATTGACGGAGATGCAGTGGAGCAGGTGGAGAAGTTCAAGTACGTCGGAACTATATTTTCTAGTGATGGAAAATTGAAGGAAAAGATCGACCGGCGGGTTCCAGTAACCAGTGGCGTTCTAAGTGAACCGCTGTGTCCAGCGCAGGGTTGAGTATGCTCAACAAAGCTCTTTGCACTCAAATCTATCTTTGTCCTCGATGTTCAGGTACGGTCATATATCGCGGACCTCGACTAAAAAACATATCCCGGGTACAAGAGGCTGAAATGGGCTTCCTGACAGGAACTGCTGGGATGAAGCTTCTCGAAATGATTCGAAAATATTTGATCCGGTTGATATATCTGAGAGAACCTTGGTGAACAGCCGCTACTTCTTCAGATTGAGAAGTCACCGCTGCGATGGTTTGGACACGTCTTGCGAATACTTTCAGAAAGGAGATAGAAACAGTTACTAGTTGGAGTGGATCCCTTTCTTGCACAGAATATCCGCAACACTTCTACGTGAATCTGTAACATTAAATAAGCTTGGTTACCACTGCTACAAATCTGACGCTCCAGTATCTCGATTATTTTGCGTTTGTCAGTGATCAAATCCATTGGCATATCGTTGCAACAAGTAATCAATTCTGGACACCACGTCTGTCAACTTCTTTGAGGCATTCTCACAAAAATTGAGTTGTTAACAGGTGCTTATATGTTGTCATGAGGAAAGACGGCTTGTAGTGTTTCACTGATTCGATGGTCTAATTACTGAATTAGAAAGTAAATTTAATTTTTCTCATTCTCTAATTTACATGCATTGAAAATATTATCTTGAACCTCAAAAGAATTGCAATGTCATTCTCGGTCACGAAAATTTTCGAAATATTCCGCTAATTAAACTAATACATAAATCGTTTAATGAACAATAAATACACGTGAAAAATAAAAAGATTATACACTGCTTTGTTTGTAGTCTTTAGTCATGAGAATTTTCTTTCCGCACATCGCACATATGCCCTTGCTATAAGCACAACTTTGGCAGTAGTGTGAACCAGGCTGGTGAACCATCGTTCGGCAAATTCCGCACCTGTGAAATTGCCCTTCTTTATAAGGCGTAAATCTAAATTATGCCTCAATGAGAAGAAATTCTTGTTCAAAGCAGATATGAGCATGATAATTAGCATCATCTAGTTTCCCGATTCGGCGATCAGTAAAGTTTTAAATTTACTTAATGGAACATAATTTCGATCGACCTCGCATCGATTTTCGTCAAAGTAGAAAGTTGTGCCGTCGAAACGTTGGGCCTTTAAGAAAATTTAAAATTTTATTTCTTTTCATAGCTAATCACCGAATAAGAAAGCCTGGTTATCTCCAGCGCTCCCTGGAAAGAATCGCAGCCGCGTGCGACGTGAACGTATTCAAAACTAAACATGTACTGCGTTCTCGTTCTCCTGCCCGTTGCTCCATTCACATTAACGAAGAGGCAGTGGAGCAGGTGGAAAAGTTCAAGAATTTCGGGATCGTGTTCAATAATGACTGAAAATTTTAGAAAGAGATCATCCAACGGATTGCAGTAGAAAGTGGCGTTCCGCTGAACCATCCCGAACCACTGTCACTAAAGCAGAGCTGAGTCTAAAGACTAAGCTATCGGTGTTCAAACCGATCTTTATCCCCATGCTTACCTACGGTCAGGAGTCATGGACCATGTCTGAAAACTTCGATCCCAGGTACAAGCAGCTAAAATAGGCTTTCTGAGACGAATCACTGGGCTCACGCGTTTCGACATGGACTGGAGTCCAGAAATTCACGACAGCCTTGGTGTACAGCCACTGCTTTTTCAGGCTGAGAAGTCACAACTGCGATGGTCTGGGCATGTGTTGTGAATATTCCGAGAAAATAAAGCGAAACACCTGCGACCTGCCCAACCGACCGATTGAAGACCTCAGGGACGACAGAGAATAATCGGAGGAGAGTGCACTGAAGTACTCTGTTCCAGACATAGGCTGTTTTAAGCTCAATCTCAAAAGCTGGTATCAGATCAGGAATGGTGAAGACACTTTTGATGTGCCTGCTTCTATGACACGAAATGATAAGCGGTTTGCAAAACTTACTGACTGAAGTGCTTCTTGTTTACATTTCATTTTAGAGGCAGTACATAACCCTTTCCTCTACGAGACATTTTGGCAAATTAAATTCAAGACAGCATATAAATAAACTTTATATGCTTTCCTATGCCTTCTTAGTTGGAGAAATAATCGGCTTGCCACCAAAGATGAATATGATGATTTATGAAAATTTTCGATGCAGTCAACTTTTGCCAAAACAAAACATGAAAACATCTGACTAGTGAAATTAACACTCTAATTAACTGCCACGAAAGTAAAGCGTTTAGATGTCACCTGTTCTTCTTCATCGTTAAAATTTTGTTCTCTCCCACTCTGCGACCACCACCTTCGGTGGTGTTGCGAGCACCGGCTTTCCATGGATCAGGGGTAATCACTTTACCGAGCTTCTTCTCGCCTAAAACCAAAATAAATATATTAAAAAATGAACACAAATCAGGGCTTTTGAAATGTATGTCATACATGAATCGCAGACCATGCTGTTCTTTGGCAAGGAGATAAATCAACGAAACCTGAAAATCAATCGAGCTTAATAAATATAAAACAAATACAGATTTTAACTGAAATTAATGACAAGAACTTAACTGTTACATAAGTACAGGGGTATACGTTTGATCGGCAGGTTATTCGCCAGTCACAGCTAAATGAATGAAAATATTTGACTTAGTCTACCGCTGTTTTGTCTGAGTCTAAGATGCACATGAAACGAACAAGTATAGAAACCTTTTCTTGCCGCATGACCTCTCGTCTTCTTCACTGTTTCTTCTCCCTTGAAATGCAGCACCACATTGCGTGATTCTCATGATATGATATATTCAGGAAATGTGCAAAGAAGGTTACTATTTCAACTGCTGTGACCAGGTTGTGATATTTTAGAACAAGCTGTCGATTCATATATACAGACTTTTCCTTCACATGTTTAAGATTTTTATAATGGATGCCATTCTTATTCAATATGAAGTTAGCGTTAGAAAGATACAAAAGAAAAAAGTAAGAAAAAAGAAAGAACAGGATAAAGAAAAGAAAAAGCAAAGAATGAAAACCATTATAAAATGGAGATGAATGAGAATAACACAGAAACGAAGAAGCATAAAGAGGAGGGAAGACCCAGAACAGGATTGGAGAGAAGAACAGCATCAAAATTACAGAAAAAGACCGTGTA